AAAAAAAAAAAAAAAGACACTTATGAAGTTTTTTATCACCCCGTTCAATACTGTTCTCAGTCAACAGCGAGATGACAACCCCACAAGGCATCAGCTAATACGCTTCAAATTTTGCACTGCGTTGCAATGTAAGAGGTCGAACTTGGCTAAATTCCAACTTCTCGCTATTTTAAGTGATACCTTTTAAACAACAACTGCCTTTAACGGGTCGTATCTTTTCCACGTAATCTTTTTTTTTTTAATTTGAATTACACATCTGGAACTATCATGCTTCTATCTTCTATCATCAGCAGCAGACAAAGGTATTTATTTGTTTGCGAAAATTGATGACGGTTTTTGAGCTATCCAAGTTTTTTACGTGAGCCGTAGACTGGCTTCAGGAGCTTTTTTGTACATCCGTTTTCTACTGTTGCCTGTTCCTGAATGACGAGTTTCTGGTGCAATACCGCCAGGAATGCCTTATCTTATAGCATGCGCGCAACTGGAGGGTGTACATTGTTTTTTATTTGAAACTTGGGTTTGATAATACCGTCTTATAGCTTTTTTTTTTTCAGAATAACTTTTGACTATTTTTTATTCTTCAACTGTTTATTGATATTCTTAGAGTAACCTTGAAAATATCAGGTTTTTTGATCGGCATTTACGCAAAAACTTGCGTTATATTCTTTACAGGTATCATATCCGTTATGGTACATTATTAGATCGCAATCGGTTGCGGTTTTATGTTTGCAAGCGATCGCTAATGGGAGTAAATTTTTTTCACGCTTTTGTTAAAAGCGTGAAAAAAAAAGCGTGAAAGCGCGCTTTTGCTTTTTCACGCTTTTTTTTTCAAACTTTTTTCTTTTCCTTATTGAAGGATGACCAAGAGTCTTTCTTTTACAGTGCCATTTGAGAGCTCGAAATAATTTGTTCTTATACTCTATCCGCAATTAATCGCTTGAGAATTACAGCACCAACCACTGACTGTATTTGAGGTAACGCTGAAGAACTGTATTTTACTATCTATTATGATAGTAGAACCTAGGTCTAGCAACGATGAGATGTGGACACCCATGTTTTTTTTATAGCTTTTATTTTGTATTAATATTGGCGTACACAGGTACAACTATGGTACACACCCACTACAATAAATATGAAAACTAAGCCAATGTTAATATAAACAAAAACCGATAGTACGAAACGAACAGTAATCAAAGTTATAAGCTAAAAAATAAAGAAATAAGAGAAGAAACAGAAATTGAAGGGCCACATAGGCTTAAAAGAAGACGTAGAGAAGGACTTGAATGCAAGCGCTATCGATTGCTAAAATTTGAGAAGACTTCCCTTCTAACCTCCTGTCCTTTCTCAAGGATTTGACCAACCGATCCTTGAAGGCTTCCGTCTAGTTTGCCACCTGAAACGACCAATGCTACTCCAAAAGCGTCCCTTTAGGGAGTGACCTTGTTAAAATTGGACTTTGGCGTTTCGCGTGCTGCCGCGACAAGCGCTGTGTCTTTTAGGCTTCTACTTTATGAAGTTTGAGGCAACAGATGGCAGCTGCGTCTGGTGCATTTCTGCTCAGCTTTATAATACTGTCGCTTCGATTCAGC